CTAATATTAAGTTCAGCAGTTCAAAACCACCAACTACTCATACTTCTGTAAAGATTTACAGTCTTGGAAACGCACCAGGCTAATTCTCCTCTGTACTATAGAGTTGCAATGAATCCTACACAATGGAAATGAGTTTCAGTTAGAGTTTGACGATCCACAGAATATTATTTTATAATCCTAAAAAATTACTGAGAATCTCTTGATTGTCTTGTTTTTCTTGAGAACAAAAAACAGAGCTTGAGTTAACTCGGTAATGCCTATTTTTAAATTATTCATCAGCCTACTTGTATAATAATAATTAAAAATTTTTTTTCTGATAAGTATATATAGTTGAAAATTAAATATATCATCTTATAAATAAAAAAATCACCATTAGTTGTAAGAAGAAAAATAAGTTACTTATTGCCAAATATTATATTTGTTTAATTACTTCCTTTTTAATCATTTTATTGGGGGCTCGTACGAGTTTAATTACTTTTCAGGCAGGAATATTTTGAGCCTGAGAAATAATATTAGTTTATATATATGTATATAATGTGGATTATATGCCAATAAAACTTTTTTGAAATTTATGATCCAAAATTTGAACTCCCACCTAATTTTATAGTAAAGAGTAAACAAATTGAAAAAGCAATGAAAAACAAGAAATGTGTATATAGATAGATAGATAGATAGGTAGATAGATAGATAGATAGATAGATAGATAGATACAGAAGCACTAAACTGAATTCAGAATAACAGAAATCTGAGACTTTCTCCTGTATGAAAGGAAATTTTGAATATCAATGAAAACTAGAATTTGTTGTTCTACACTATTGCTCTTTTTATTAGCAATGTACCAATTGTTAGCTGTTTGTCATAAAACCTTTAAAAACTATAGGCAAAACAGATTAAGGATATATTTTTCACAAGATATGATGCATTCTAAATAACCTTCCTAGAAAAACTCACTCTTGTAACATCTGGAGAGTCAATTGAATATTAAATCAGTTCTTAAAATACAATGGATGCCATAATTTTTGTAGTTCTATTGAGTACCTTATAACACCTCATGACTGAATAAAATATCCATTAGAAATGCATTGTTTCCATTCTGCATTCTATTTTCCCCAGTGTAAATCTCTTTAGATCAGCAGTTCTCAACCTATGGGTCGCAACCGCTTTGGCGGCCCTCCCTTTCACAGGGGTCGCCAGATTCATAACAGTAGCAAAATTACAGCTATGAAGAAGCAACAAAAATAATTTTATGGTTAGGGGGTCACCACAATATGAGTAACTCTATTAAAGGGTCGTTGCATTAGAAAGGTCAAGAAATACTGCTTTAGATTTATCAAAAGCTATATGAGATTCATGAAATTTTCATGTATTATTTAAGTAACAAAAAGCATAACAGACCATTAAGTGTGTCTCAGTTCTATTTGGATCACCTTGTGTTGGCATTTCTTGCCTAGGGTGTATACAATATCATTAGATTGTAGCAGAAGCACTAAAATATGCAAACTTCAAGCATACTTGAGTAGTTCAACTGTTTTACCTTTCCTTTGGTTTCCGAACTGAATGGCAGTAAGCTGAAAGTATTTTTAATCTGTGAATTATAAATAGCAGAAATAAATTAATTTGCTATTTATCTTTCAGGATTTCAATCATGAATTCAAATTCTTTGTCCATGGATACTTTTATGTGTAACCAAATATACATTGGTCATATTTGCTCACATGACAAGCAAGACTACACATTAAACATCTTAACGTTCATGTGTAAATGTGTAAAGACT